GGGCGCTTAACGACATGTCGTTTTCGACGACGACCCATAAAACGATTCCATTCTAAGCGAATGGCTGGATGAAGCACCATCGGATCGAATCGCCAGGCCAAGGCGACTTTTTCTCAATAGCGCTTTGAACGCTAGAAATGGCACAGTGGCTACAGACGTCACTGTCGTCGCTGTTCGTCTCTTGTTAATTTCCCTGCGATTTGTGCCCCCAGAGTCCTTTTACTGACAAAGCGCCCATTCAGTGGAGCAGAAGCCTATGGTAGGAACATCGGCTATCTGCATCTAGCATGTTTGAGGACCTAAATACATTCAACATTCACTTGCAAGATCCCTATCGAAGGTATGAACCGTAGTGTATCCAGGAGAATGTTCACTGATAAATCTGTTCTGTTTATCAGTCAAGTGTTGTCCCATTTTTCTGTTTTGATGGCAAAATCCGCGCTACAGATGAGTCGAATTTCACATTCCACGCTGTTTGTGTAGGCGGAATCTCCTACTATTAGTTGCGCCTCCCTTGAGATGTTTTACTGCATTAGAAGTGTAAGCAATGCACGCGGAAAAAACCTAACAATAAACCTCAAACCTAATAACCTTAAATCAGTACATCCTGCCCTTTGCCCTCTTACCATTAGAAGAAGGGCCTCACCAGTGGGAAAGGAATGGGGGGGGGAGGGGGGCGCAGGTCTTAGATTGCTACACCCTCACCCTTACGATCAGAGTGAAACAGGGCACAGCATTCGATGGGGATTTTGGTCGAGCTTTTACGACCCCCCCCCCTTTTTTTCAGGGGCTGGTACGACCCCCCCCCGCCCGCTCGATGACTTTCATGAATGACACTGGATTGGCTGACTGTGGTTGTGGTTTATACTCGGCGAAAAAGTTGTCGAGCGGGGTATGTAGTAAGCATGCGACGTACATCGTACGGGCGTACATAGTACCTATAACACAGAAAATTCATAAAACTCATGAAGTGAACCACGTAACTCCTAGCCAGAAATACGACCCCCCCCCTCCCAACAACGAGCAAATACGACCCCCCTCCAAAACGTCCGCAAAGCGAGAAAAATCAACTATAAAAATAAATTTTTCCCAGCCCAAATACGACCCCCTTTTGGCGGCCAAATACGACCCCCCCCCATAGGGAATCCCCATCGAACGCTGTGCCCTGAGTGAAATGTGCCTTGAAACCATTCACGGCAAGGGTCATAATCCAAAGGGCTGGCCACTGCCTTACCTGGGTATCTGGGTATCTACCACAATTGGTGGCATTGTTGGTTGAAGAGTCGTTAGCCTGGTTCTCTGAGAACAAGGATTTCGAAAAATCGAGCAAGGTTTTCCTCTGAATGGCAAGAAATTTGGTGTGGAACCTGTTTTGAGTATTCTTACCAGTGTTTGCACGCAGTTATAACAATGAATGAACAATCCAAACAAAATGTTCTTTCCGCAGATACACCTCAGGCGTTTAGAACTTCTCTAAAATTAACAAACCCGGTTAATTTTCAGTAAATTGAAACCCTTTGCTCCCAGAGCTGATTTTGTTCATTCAAAAAATTCTACTGATTTTTCATTTCCAATGTGTCTTTACATTCTGATCAAACCACTTCAATCGATCTTCTCCGATTTTTGTGAAAAACGCTACTCCACACAAAACTCCCGGTGGATATGGATATCAGCAAAGATATGTTGCTTCACAGCTAGGACTATCTGTAAGCCCCAACAGAGCGTTTCAGCCGACAAACAAGGTTGATGGACCGAAGCACATTGCTAGAATGGAGAAAATCTCTTGAAATAAATAATAATAATAATAATAATAATAATAATAATAATAATAATAATAATAATAATAATAATAATAATAATAATAATAATAATAATAATAATAATAATAATAATAATAATAATAATAATAATAATAATAATAAAATAATAATAATAATAATAATAATAATAATAGCTCACCGTTGTCCCCCACCTCGTCGAGGATTCTTCAAAGATTGTGTGCCTTACTAGATCATCCCTCCCTGTACGTTCCTACCGCGTTCCTGCATAGCTTCTTGTCTTTCTGGGCCTACTGTGTGTTGTTAGCCGTTTCTGCTGGAGTTCCTTTGCTCATGACAAGCCCTAAGACAGCCTCAAAAATTCATCAATTGTTCAGTCTTGTAAGTAATCTATTGACGGCCTGGCCTGAAAGAGTGTTAGTGGTGAATTAGTTCCTTTGGTACCTCACTCAATCCGGGCTCTAGATGTATGCGGTTGAGTATTCGTTTCATGGCTAGATCTGCGTCATGAAAAGCTAAATAAAAGTGAATTGGAGGAAAGGCCTCCCTCCAATTCACTTTTAGTTAGCTTTTCATCCAGTTATCTTCTCAGCAGTAACACTCATTGAAATGCTTCTCCTCTGTGCAGTCGGATTTTTCAGTCCTTTTCATGCAACAACTCTCCCACCCCCGCCGAGTGGCACTAGTAATTAGAGCCTGGCACTTCGCCGTAACTCCTCATGAATTCGCTGGTACCGGTTCCACAAGTGGCACTTACGATGGCCTGTCATAAGTGGCGTGACGTTTCTTCCATGGGGAGGAAATTTTCGGTAGTTTCTCCTACGCAAAAAGCCGTCAATTCCAGACTCATAACAAATAGCCTTCTCAGACGTGGAGAAAATGAACGTTCCGTCATTGTGCAGAGCTATAGTTTTGCGATTTTTCTTCGAGATTGGTACGCTTGTACAATAACATCTAATAGTCGAATTTGGGAGGATTTTCATACAGGGAACCATTTTCTTCCAAGCGGAGTAAATTTTACTCGAATATGCAGTAGACCCGCAGTTACTAAGTTTTCTTAGGTTGAAGGCGCACACAAACACATCTGTGATTTTTATTGGAAGTCGTAAAGTGTTCACGCCGGTCATGACGAAGGAGGAGATAGCAATTACTATACTCAGCGGCGTGCCCTCCTTTTTACCGTATTCACCGGCGGCAATTGAAGAAGTAGAAAGACGTGGATACATGTGTGCACCACCTCCACCCGTGTGATACCTCCAAAACGTGGACTGTGGCCCTTGGCTCCTTCTTTTTGCCAATGATGCAGCGTCTAAAGCAGTTGTAAGGCAATGGACACTATTCAGCTGACTTAATACCACCCAATCAGCCAGCAGAGGTTTCTTACAGTACCCATATTCCTTCTAGTAAATAAAGCTCCGTTTCCAACCATAGCTACCTCGACGGGTACTGTCTAAAGGTAAAATTGCTCAGAAATTTACCCGAAGTTTCCTCTTGACACTCATAAACATGACTCCACCGAAAGGTTTTCAACGGCGAAAACATTACTAGCCTTTGTTCTCAGTTAGCAAGTTACAGTCCTTTCTTTGTCCGCGATATATGGCTATTATGTAGCCCCAGACAGTCTTGATCAAACTGAGATAGAAAAAGTTGAAGTTCATGACGACATAAGGAACTGCTGCTCTGGTGAAATATTGGGTTGGCCCATAAATAATGGCGTTTTTCTGATCTAAATTTTTTGGCCAACATTGGGAAATTTTAACAGTGCTTCCTATACCGTTCGATAGAGAATCCCTTCTTTAAGAAGGTGAACTCGGAAAAGTGAAGTCAGTGAAATTGAGCACTTTCGACACCCTCTTTTTAACATTTAATTCGGAAAGTTGACCCCCCAGATGTTCATATGTCGAGAATATGGCCAAGTAGCAATGTCTCTTAGGATGGCCCAGAACAGGTTCAAAATATTCAAAATCTAACCCAATACCTCACAAACAATCATCGCGCCGGATGCCCTATTCAATTCCATTGGGAGCTTGAATCAGCTCATTCTTGGAGATCCATGATAAAGAATATGGAACTGTTAGGGGTCATGGAATACTCACATATTTTTACTGAACATCAACTTCACGTGGGGGTCTTTCAAGTTGCATTTTGGGTGGGGTTCTGCAGGCAGACCTCGTCAAGAAGACGTCTATGCCATGCACAGTTGAAAGGTAGATTTCCCGTCGCCTGAACGGACTGAAACAGTCCTGGAGGCATGGCCCTTTCCTCATGAGCAGCACTCGATAAAATGCAAAAACCTCTGTGTTGAAAGCTGTCATTAGTATCTACCCTGGAACACCGCTCAGATAAAGCAAAAATTTTTTACAAAAATCAGGAGAATAGAAGCTCGAGCATAGTTTGTCATAAAGCATGTAATCGTCTGTAAAACAGCACATAACAGAATGGGGAAGTTTCTCCAGCTTCTCTCTGGCCGTAACCTCGGCATCGTCAAATGATTCGTCAATAATTGCTGTACCTCGCGAGGTTTTCAAGTGGAATTTTATTTAACGGGCTAACGTTTTGACGTGCTTCTTCTTCAGAGGCCAAGGTTTCACCGCAAATCCGCCGTCACATGCGGATGTTAGTCAGAAGCGGATCATACATACGAATCATATCTGAAACCCTCGAGAGGCACACAATGGGGAAGGGGAAGCTTTTCACTCTTCACGCGAAACTTTATGAAGAAAGAAAACATCATCGCTCACGGGCCAACTCAATACCGCGCCTGTATCGCGTATGCGGACTGCAGTATCTTTAAGACGTTCCTACCGGCGTGACACACACGGTGTGTCATACGTTTTCTTTCTGCACCTTTAAATCTGTTTTATTCAGCATTTCTTTTCTGTTCTAAATTAGCAGAACACGTTTTCGGACATAACTCAGATGGAAATGGAAAAATAGATGAAATTACTTACTAGAAGCAAATTATGGAGAGATCCTCGCAGGAACGGTGGTCCGTAATGTTTTAACAGTTAATGATGGCGCCATTATCACTGGGAGGGGGAGGGCATTTTAAAAGCACATTGTGCGGAACTACGATTACACAATGAGGACTTCTGGTTAGACCAAGCAGATGGGCAAAAGCTCTGGAAGCAGTTTAGATCGTGGTACTCCTGTTCGGATAACTGCAATTAGCGTTCAGCAAAGAGTACTTCTGATGCCCTTCTCAAGATTATTAGTGCATTAATGACGTACATAATTAGTCGGGAAAGGAAAGCCATTGGAAGGAGACGTTAGTTGTATTGACAGTACAGGATTACTTGGAATAAGGGGCCTTAGGCCTGTTCCCGGGAGTTATAACCTCATTCGTTGGTGGAATGTTTTCGCCTCATAGATGTACAAATTGGAGCGAGTTGAAAAAACCAGTTTCTCAGTTGTACCTCAGCATCACTCGAAACTTCACCGATCATTCCATAGTTGACTGTTTTGCAGTTGAAAGTACAGAAGAAAGATTTATCCGATTTCAGGTGAGGTTCCGTTGCATTGGGCGGCTCGAAGTGGTCATGCGAACGTAGTCGCAGTGTTGGCTAATGAGCGGGTGAACATCAACGCTTTGAATAAGGTGAGCCGTCATTTGTTTCCACTCCAGCCAGTTCTTACCGTCTCTGACAGCCGTGACGACCGAACTGGCTAGTTAGCAGACCAAAGCAAAGAATCGAGAATCGTTTAGAACGGCGAATCCTCTTTGTTGATCGCTTCTCGTCACGGTCATCACGATGTGGTCCATGTCCTTCTGGAACGAGGCGCCTGTTCCAGTATCCAGGACCAGGTGAGTTCTATTTTGACTCTTTGCTTTCCAACGTGCTAGCGTTCCAATCAACTGGCCTGGTTGTAGTTTGGTGACACGCCGTTACATTGTGCTGCTTCACTTGGTCATTGTCGTCTGCTTCGCTTACTCTGCTCGTCCAATCCTCCACCACCGCTACTGCTCAGAAATCAGGTATCTAACCAGCCTGAGCTTAGCACTGCCACTGTCAATTCATACGTCACCATCTAAATTGCACCAATCTTGTCCTCGCCGGTTCAATTTTCATGCATTTAAATAGCCTTCTTACTGCTCACTTCTTATGCATTTTAATAACTCCCAAGCCAGCACCATTCACCAGCAGTCACCGATTCCGAGCAACGATACCCTTGACAACCAGTTTACTGGCCTCTCTCTACCCTCTCTCTCTCTTCATATTTGACTTCTTGGTATGGCCTGCAGCCGAGGCCGGCGGCACCCATCTCCAGGCCCCCGGGGAGGTGTTAGAGATCGATACACGGGGCAACTGGCGCATGTATCCATGGTCGATTATTCGCTTCTGTAGCTTCGGCTCGTCGTCGCTCCGCCCTCCAGCGCACCGAGAGCCCCTCACCCCTTTGACCCCGCCTCCCCACTGTGGTCACGCCCCACCTGCCATAGACTGGAGCGTTGCCAAGTCCGTTGTGTTCTCACCTGCACTCCAATCCCTAATCGATTGTCGTGGTCGCGATTTCATAACCCGTCGCCAGGCTCACATCTATTGCCTTGTGCCTTGTGTTCGGTACCGCTCTCAAAATTTACAGCTCCTACCGTGCAGCTATGGTGACTTCTGAAGGTCACGGTGACGAGTCGACGACGACTCCACGAGCATCTGATGTGCCAACGTTGAAAGCGAAGGATTTCCAGAAGGCGAAAAATCAAGGTGTTGACGAGGACGAAGAGGAAGACGACGAGCTCCATCAGAGCCGTCAGTCGACCACCTCTTCCCACTCGTCTGGCGACGGTGATGTGGATTCGTCATCAGGCGACGAGACGGACGACGAAGAAGACATGCCGGCACAGTCTTTTCACGGTGTACTACCTGGGTCTGTGATTGCTGCTTACCTAGCTGATCCGGTTGCGAATCCAGCCGCACAATCGCTGTATACTATGACAGCTTCACGTGGCGCTCATTCACTGTTCACAACCGGTAGCGTCTACGAGGAGAGTCCTCGGCCTCGTGCTGCTGATCAAGTCCTGACCCTCCGCCAACCTCCTCATCTTGTCGACGATAAACCCCGTAGCTGCTATTCAGCTGCCACTCCATCTACTAGTAACTTCATCTCTCTAGTCACGGATTTTGACGCCTCGCTCGCTCATCCGTCTTGTTGCATGGTAACCGATTTTGCTACAGTTTTTTTTCGTGTCAATTGCACTTTTCTGTGTGTAAATGTGTGCGTCTGTGTACACGCAATGGCGCACACTGCCGAATTCCCACATTACCAGTTCATTCATAGTGAGACGCATGTATACACACTACGAGGTCAGTTAAAGTGGGCAATTTCGTGCCGGCCAGGTATCGAGGTCAGCCGCGTAACCGCGGTTGTTCAACCCGACACCATCAGGCAAATTCCCCCCATTTCCTGCAATAGAAATCTAGTTGAATGCCCCTGGATCTATTTCCTGTAGGAGTTAGGCAGAGGAGACCGACGGAATCTGACGCTGCTGGCTGGTTGGCAAATTTAAGTGGCCCTTCCCCACTTACCGACGTATTTCCCCTGAAAACCTTGAGAATGTTTACACAGTTATTACCTGATGCCTGATAAGGCCTGCTAATTACCCATCAGCTGATATAATTACCGTGTCTCTACCCACGCTTCTGATTTATGAATTGGATTCAGGAAATTAATCGAGAGCACCAGAGTAATTGCTGTTGGTTTTGCAAGCGTTGTGAAATTCGGAGGCAAAATCCGAAAAAAAATACAACACAGCAAACGCTTGAATTACCAATCAAGGGAATTGCTTTAGCAACTACTTTTTGCTTTTGTCCCTCTCCCACCCCTTCCCTTCTGACTTTAATTTTCCAAATCTAGGCTACATTTTCATTGAAATTGTCTATAACCCAACGAATACTGCACCCGTCTGGCAAGAGACCCCACACACCAGGTACAGCGGCTCGTAAATAGTGCCAGAATTTTCGGATCTTTCAGAATTGTTTACCGTTGCATCCAAAATTGGGCTAAAAAATGTGTGACGTAGCCCAAGCTTAGGTAGTAGCTTAGCTCTTCAAAGCCAACGCATTTATCCTCCCTGGTGTCGGCAGCCTCTTCCGTTACGTGGGCCTTCAAAAATAACTGATTATCCCCTAATTTTGATTTCCTTTTTTCTGTTTTTCAAGCTTCCAAGTGCACATATTCACGCGCACATGCTTAATTTAGTCAGACTCCTGAATCCTGGGGCTACTGCCTTGAAATTTCTATTATTTCTAGAAAAAGCCTCAATTTTTAATTGAATCACTTGGATGACCATCTCGATTGTGGCTGAACAAAAACCTGTAATCTGAAAGTGTAGAAATTCTGTGAATGTATTTCAGGCTTAAGATCCTCACGTCTCTCAACTCACCAATTTAATCCCTTGGGTAACTAGAAGACGTGATAGATCTAATGGTCTTTGGTACGGTAGATGGGAAAATATCCAACCAATCCCATACGAGTGCTCCTTCCACTCAGGATGTCCTTGCTGCCATAATTGGTTTCAAAACTCATCAGGTTTTTCCTTACTGGAAGGTGAATTCCGTAGATTTCCCGGATTTCCCAGGGTTCAGTGGACGACCAAGGGCAGAGGCGCTTACCTAAATTACTGGCTGTAGCACAGATCAATTACCTACTGAGCATAGTTCGGCTTTAATTGGATCACAGGCCATGCATAGTTTATAGCCACCTGGCCAGCATTAACCTGGTTTTCTTGTGCGGCGCGGAGCACGCTAATCAGGCTTCTCAATTTATTCTGGCCCCGGGGGGATTGCTCGTATTTGAAGGCCAGATGGCCAATATAGTAATGGGACTTTAGTACAATAGAGTGCTTGAAAACCAGCACTGAGTGTGTGCGGTTGGTTTCTGGACAAATGGGTCGCAAACGAGCTATGCGCATTCCAGACGAGTTCTTTGGTTGTCAGCCATGTTGCAATGACTCAGCAAAACATCATGCTCAAAAACTTGAATGTAGTGGGATATTTGCGGGCTACGTGGACTACAACTTCCGCAGATATGAAGCTGTAGCTCCTGTGAAGACTAGCCAGCAGCAGGCGTTACTGTACGTTACCGCGCCTCCATAAAAACTTCGTCCGCGATTTCTTGAACTCTTTCAAGCTGGTTGCGCTTTATTATTGTAGGAATTCAACCTAGTGGGCTTCCAGAGCACTTTAGGGGCAGCGGGCCATTATTCTCGGGAGTATTTGAAGGAGTCTTGGTGCCCAACTGGGATTCTGCAGTGGAGATGAGGATGTTCCATGTTCAGAGGAGGAAGGGATCCAAGGTTGATGAATCAGTTCAAAGGCCGGTGGTTTTATGGAGCCATTCTTACGTTTGCACCAGAAGTCCTGTCTCCCCTCCTTCACCTCCCCTCCCCCTCCCTCCTTCCCACCTTCCCAGGTTTGACAGAGCTGAATGCCTTCTGATATGAGCTTGTTTGACAACCTGCTGGTTGAGTTCTATGGTTCCGGGAGACATTCAGAATATTCACCCACCAAATCTGCGCTGATTCTTCTATGGAATTCATAGGTATCTCATCGGCTGTAAATTCATGAAATCGATTTCACTATTAACACTCCGAACTGCTCCGATTACATTGCTCTCGTTAATCGAGTAACCGGGTTGCGGTGGATCGTCCCGCTTCGCTCGAGTTTTTCCCCATGGTAATAGCCCTTACATCATCATTGTGTGAAACACATAGGGGTCGTACTTTTCGGCTGGGAGGGGAGGGTCGTATTTGGTCGTTGTTGGAGAGGGGGAGGGGTCGTATGTGGCTATGGGAGGAATTTGGAAATTTGCTGGGTTGGGAAAAATTCCCCTGGTTGTTGACTTTTCCTGTTTCATGTGTACATACTATATACGCCCCCCCCCCTCGCTCAACGGAAAATCTTTGGGTGAAAAACCCCTCGCTCAACGGAAATCTTTTGAAAAACCTGGAAAATGTGGCGGAATGGGGGGTGGGTGGTGGGGAAGGAGGGGCCGGGATGCTGTACCCTGCCCTCCTGCATCAACCTATGCCAACAAGTCAGCGGTGTGACCCCACCAAGAGGCGAAGGAAAACAGTGAGAAGTCATACGGAGCCTTGACCCATTTTTTCCCGGCAAAGTCCATAATGCTGGAAGTTACAGTAGCCCCTAATCGACAGTCCAACATCGTCCCTTCTCAACAGCTTACACGGCTTGTTACTAAGTCACGAACTCTATTGCTAAAACCTCAGACTATTGGCTAGACTTTGAGTCGAATAGCAACCTACCGTAACCACACACCCAGCAAGTGGATTCTTCACGGCTAGCTCATTTCTGGAAGGACCAGGCTTGATACGAACGAATATTGAGCAAACAATTCAATCAATATGGGAGACGTGACTGGCGTCGCTTCCACCGGCCCAACCAAGAGGGGGGGGGAGGGATCGAGCTCCACGAAGACTAAGTGAACCCTATATCACTTCGGCGTCTATAGAAATTGTGAACTTGTCCAGGAAGACAGGGCACGCCATCGCGTCGTGTAAAACTTCTGCTAACTACGACCCCCCTCCCCCGAGAAAAAGGTTTTTGGCACGACCCCCATTCAATAATTGCATAACACCTGAGTGTCGTTGTTCTTCCTACTTCTGAATTTGCCCTGCGCTGACGACCCACCCCTCTCTTGCGTCAAATACGCCCCCCTCCCCCCTCTCGTTGTGATTTATACAATGACGGAAGATGCCAGCCAGTTTCCGCCATTCGAATATCACCAAGGTTTTGAGGGGGTGTCAAATATATCGCCTGAGGAAACTGTTCGGCTCCGACCACGTTACCCTCTATCAGGGCACGCCATCGTTGTGATAATCGCAACGGGGGAGGCGGGATCGTATTCGACTGCGATGGAAGGAGGGGGGTCGTATTGTCTTTGAGAGGAGTTTGCAGCGTCAGTGGGTGGCGCCGCCAAGGTTCTACACAACTGTTTCCCATCCATTTTCCGATAGTTGAAAATAGTATCTAGTTCCTGACGACCTCCCCTCCCCCCGCTCGACAGCAAAATCCTGGACAAAAACTAGAAATTTCTCGGGAACTGTCGGAAAAAACTGGAAAAAAGCTGTAGGA